TTCATATTTGAGCTATAATTACATAAACATTCAATTCTAAAAATTAATTTTGATAGTACATTTAAACAAACACTACCATTGTCGGGTCTCAAGCCCTAGATTTAAAATGTGGAGGGTAACATTAGGTAGTCAACAACCAACATAAAATTTGACAAAAAATCATGATAAGAATGGTCAACAACCAACATAAAATTTGTCAAAAAATCATGATAAGAATGCTTTAGATCCTTGTGTAAATGTTAGGGCATCTTCTAAAAGTGATGTGTTGTATGACCTGAATACAGTAAAAAGTGTGCATGTGTCGCTAGTGTCAATTTAACAAAAATTCCTCCATTACTAATAGATGTGGGTAACGAAGTTAGTTCATAAACTAATATTAGGATATAATCTTGAACTATAGGTACTCTCATAGATAAGCTAATAGAATTAGTTGATATTTTGGGTCATAGGAAGATAAATATCCTATGTATTCAAGAAATTAAATTGGTTGAAGAAAAGGCTAAGGATATTGATAGCTTAGGTTTTAAATTTTGGTATTTTGGTAAGAGTTGCAATAAAAATAGTGTAGGTGTAATTATAGATAAGAGTTTGAAAGATAATGTTGTAAAAATTAATAAAATTGGACATATAATTGTATCTCTGAAGATTGTTGTTGATACTAAGACTATTAAGAATATAATTGTTTATGCTATTCAAGAAGGTTTAGATATAGGTTTTAAGGAAATGATACCTAGAAGAATTATTATAAATGGTACCACTTGAAAAAAAAAATTTATAAGAGGAGATTTAAATGGACATATTGGTAGAGTGGTAGAAGATTTTAAGAATATTCATGGTGGCTACGATTTTGGAGTGATTAAAGAAGAAGAAAGAATCATATTAGATTTTGCTTTAACGTATGATTTTTTTATTCCTAATATTTTATTTAAGAAAATAGACAAGCATATTATTACTTACAAGAATTAATGAATTTAATAAAACACAATTTGATTATTTTCATAAGAGAAGAAGAGGCCGTCAAGAATGTAACGATTTTAATGTCATTCAAAGTGATAATTCAAATATTCAACATTGATTATTAGTTCTGGATTTTAAGATGAAGAGTTGTAAGATAAAGAATGTTTGGAATCATTGTCATAAAATTAGATGGGCATACTGATCCTGTTACTGATATATGCAACATATATGCAATAATATAACAATGTATTGGATTATATTTTCACTTAAGAATTTTTTATTAAGCCCCAAATATCGATCTCATAGGGAAATTGACAATATGCACTTTCAAACAATAAACTTCTATTTCAAAAAGATAATTACTTAAATTATATGATTTTTGTAGGAATTTAAAATTTAAATATTTTTGGTATTTTTGATATTTTAACGAAACAGTAACAACTTAAAAAGATAACTAAAGTTTTTGTAAAAGAAAAGTACTTAATATGAAAATTTATTTCTTCTTATCATGAATCAGTAATAAGTATAGAAATTCTATTGTGGAAGTATATAAATTGTGAAGTATATAAATTGTGATGTTTCAAATAGGAGCAATAATATTCTTTACCCTTACTAGAGATGTTATAAAGAACATTGTTTAATTTGAAGTTTGAATAGTTTTGAAGACCAACTAGGTAGGGAAGATACCATCTTTCACTCTAGAGTTCCCTTGATTCCCTCCACCTAGGGGCTAACATCTTGTATCAAAACATAAAATAATAAACCAAGTTGGGGGGCTTTAATTTGTCAAATTAAAGTCCTCTAAATCTACACCCTTCAATGAATATTTCCATATTTATTTTCACTCAATTGCACTAAATCATATACTAAATCATATGAATGAGATACAATCTCATGTGATTCTTTCCAATTGTTGCCCGAGACAATACCAGCCCGGTTCTTACATTTTCTCACAACAAATTTTAACGTCTGGATAGGCCAAATTAAGAAGTAAATGAAGTGTATGGAATTAAATCATCACAACTTCTTCCAATATTAAAGATTAATACTCTGCACAACTTCATCCGAATCCAACACATTAATTACTTATCATTTTAAGGAGAAAGATAAAGAAAACTACTCAGAATCCATGGGGAAAACAAAACCACACTTTAGTTTAAAAGCAGAAATCATTGTCAAACCAACAAGAAGACTCGATTAAAACTAAAAGTAATTTAAAAACAAAGATAAAAACTTATCTCAAGTCCTCCACCAAACTCTTGAAGTTCCTTTGAATCTCTTCTTTCTTACAACACTCTATACTCTCAAAATAAAACTAAAAATAAAAAGGTTAAAGTAAATTTGTGGTGCCTGAATCTCTCCACAAGATTCTCCACAATCTTCTCAGGAGTTAGCACTCTCTCCCTCTTCAAGCACCCATCTCAAATGTCTAACCTTCCTTCTTTTATAAATTTCCCAAGAGGTGCCTTGGAAATTCTTCAAAATGTGTCCAAATTCGATGTATTCTCCAAGGGATGCCTCCTTTCACAAGTCTCTTAATAATATTTTTGTTCCTAGTGGTCATAACTACTCTCTTTAGCCAATAGGTGCCTCAAGTGTCTCTTCAAAATTCAGCAAAATGAAGAAAACCGCAAAATTATTGCCTCTGGCGCTTAGGCGCAGCCTAAATTTGTGCAAAAGTGTTTGGCGTCTAAGCGCCAAACTCCAGCGCAGCGCCGGATCTGGCGCTTAGGCGTCAAAACACTTTTGCACAAATTTCACATTTTTGCTCCAAATTTGATCATTGTTCACTCCTTTTAGCATTTTTCAACTTTTTACTTGTACCTAAAAGAAAAACACACAAATATCTTCCATTAAAGCGCAATATCTAAAAATATAAAAATGTCTAAAAACAATATATATTTTAGGTGTATCAGACACCTATCACACACCTAAACACAAATAAAATTATTTTTATGAGTAAACTTCAAGATTTCAATATGTGGGATGTTCAAGAGAAACAAATTCTACGTGGGATAAAGTAACAAACACAATTAAATAAGTGATAAAAGATGTACTTGAAGAATCAACAGAAAATTTTTTTCTAAATAAAAATAGTTGGTGGTGGAATAATAGAGTTCAAGCAAAGATAAAATATAAGAATTTGTGTTATAAAAATTGGTTTAAATGTAATAACTTAGAGAACTAGGAAAAATATAAGGTGAACCTTAGGGAGTCTAAGAGAATAATTTGTGACGCTAAAAATTCTGCTTTCAGTGATCTTTATAATAAATTAGTTACTAAAGAGGGTGAATAATATATTTATAAACTAGCCAAATAAAGCAAAAAGAAAGTAAAGATTTAACTTATGAAAAGTGTATTAAAGATGACATTTAAAAGTGTTTTTTATAGAAAAAAATATTTAACATAGACAGGTGGGCTATTTTGATAAAAATTTCAATAAAGTTACTGAAAAATAAGGTCAACCTTAGTGATCTTAATATCGTTAATAATAATAAATCATTTTATTTTTACTCTCATATTAGTAAAAAAGAAGTTGATGTGACTTTAAAGAAACTAAGGGTGAAAAATAAGTAGGACATGATGACATATCAATTAAAGTGTGGAAATATTTAAGAGATTTTGGAGTTTCTTAGCTTACTAAACTCTTTAATATTATTTTAAAAACTAAAAATATGCTTGAGGAGTGGAAGAAGTGTATGTTGGTCCCTTCTTTTAAGAAAAAATGGGGATGTACAAGAGCTTGCAAATTATAGAATTATTAAATTGATGTGACAAACATTCAAATTATGAGAGAGGGTAGTTGAACATAGGTTACGATGTGTTACAAAGATTTCACATATTTCGTTTGGATTTATGCCGGACTGATCTATTATGGAAACTAGACCTTTTTTGAGAGGTTTGAAGGAGAAGTACATAGACAATAAGGAGGTTCTACATATAATTTTTATTGATTTAGAAGCAGCTCACGATAAGGTTCCAAGATAAGTTCTTTGGAGAGTTCTAGATAATAAAGTTGTTGATATGACTTATATTCATGTCATTAAAGATATGTATACTAGAGCTATTACTTGTGTTAAAATAGAAGGAGGATTGAACAAGTATTTTTTTGTTTTAATTGGATTGCATCAGGGATCTGCTTTAAGCACTTATCTTTTTGCTTTAGTTATGGATGCTTTTATTGGACATTTACATAAGGATGTACCAGGATGTACCTTGGTGAATGCCTTGGTGAATGCTTTTTGTTGATGATATCATTCTTGTGGATAAAACTAGAAAAAGAGTTCAGGAAAAACTGGAATTATGGAGGCCCGCATTGGAGTTTATAGGCCTTCGTTTGAGTAGAACTAAAACTGAATACATGGAATGTAATTTTTGTAGTACTAGCACTGGTGGCAGAGTTGTAACTATGAGTGATCAAATTATTAAAAAGTGTGAACGTTTTAGATTTCTCAAGTCTATTATTCAAAGTGATGGTGAAATAGATGGGGATGTTATTAGTAGAATTCAAGTTGGTTGGTTGAAGTGGAAAAATGCATCGACCCTATTGTGTGACAGAGAAGTACCGCTTAGACTGAAAGGAAAGTGTTATAAGATGGTAGTAAGGCAGACTTAATTATAAAACAAATTTAAGTGTTGCTAAGATGTGAATGCTTAAATGGATGAGTAGCTTAATACTTAGAGGCAAATGTGAAATAAATATATTCGTGATAGGGTTTGTGTAGCTCCAGTGACAGAGAAGAGAGTCGTCTTGGATGATTTAGTCACATTAAATTTCAACCCTTTGATGAACCAGTTAGGTGAGATGATATTTTAGATTTGACATATTAAAAAAGATAGTGGTACACCTTGGTACACTTAAAAGGACTTAGGCATATTATATAAAAAATGATCTTAATTTATTATAACTAAATAAAAATATGACGCTCAAACATGACAGAGAAAAAAGAATTATGCAGTTGACCCCCCCTTTAGTATTAAAAGCTTGCTGTTGTATACCTTTAGAAAAAGTTGCTTCAAATTTAATTAAATTTAAGATGGAGATGGGAAAGGCACGAGCATCATTATCAGCTAATAAATTCCGTTCTGGCTGAAAACTTTAACAGTCCCTTGGCGTGTGTTGTTGTCATGCCCACAGTTTTCTTTGCAAAAACCACTTCTTAGCCATCTCCTTCGTTCCGCTTCTTTCGCCCATTCTTCCGAACCCTAACCCTAATCCTAATCCAACTAAGAATCCGTTCGTAACTTATTCTGATTTTGCGTATCTTGATCGGGTTCCGGAATGGAACCTCATACGATCCCCGATTACTGGATCGATGACGCCGGAGGTGGATCGGACTGTGAGCTGCGCTGTGCCCTCGAGAGCTTCTGCGATGTCGCGCCACTGGCTGCTGAGTACGTAGAATTATGAACCTATATTCTTTTTCTGGTACATGTTTCGTTATGGAGGAAAAATGTCTCGTGCATTGCCTTGCCTTGCCATGGGTTCTGGAGTTTCGTGCGTTAGGATTTGCTTGACGATGTTTTCATCGGTGCACCGATTTCTTATATTTTCCTTGCGTTCTTTATTTCGGATAATTGTTTTGCAGATCTGGTTTTAAGGAGGTGCACGGTAACGGTTGCGGTCGAGAGCAGATCGGGTCTATGAAAAGGTTTTCTTCTTCAAATTCTTTTTATCCGGTCGGAATTACTAGGAAATTTTTTTTCCTTTTATCGCAAGTTTTCTACCGATCTTTTGGCAGCTTTTACTCGATTATTTTCCTATAAGGTATTAGTAGAATGAATTGATTGTGAAATAGAGTTTTTTTTTTCCCATCTTGTTTTGTGATTCTTATATGATAGAAAAGCTCTAGCAAAGATTCTCGAAAAATGAAGTGCTTGTTGTCTTTCCTAAGATTTACCACTTGAAGATGATTTGTTGAGACTCGAGGTTCTTGTTTTTTTTTTTTTAAAGTTTTTAATCATTCTCTTTCTTTGTTTTAGATATGGGTATTTATTCCGAGGATTTCCCACTGGAAGATGATTGGTTGAGACTCGGGGTTTTGTTTTTTTTTTTAAAGTTTTTAATCATTCTCTTTCTTTGTTTTAGATATGGGTATTTAATTTTCTATGTTATCCCATTAAGTTTTTGTGCATATGTGCCATTTGGCTTTTATTCATCTATTGACGACTGTAGGAAGAATGATTTATGAGAGTATTTGAATCAAAGCTTGTATTTAATGTGAATTTTTCTCTATTACAAGATTATGGTGTCTGTAGTTTATGGGCTATATTTTTTTTCCTAGGAAGTGATATAGGTGTTTGTATGTCAATTCCGGAAGTGGTCCGCATTAAAGTGAGTTGCAGTTTGAAGTTTTGTTTCTCTATTGGAGTGATATAGGTGTTTGGATCTCAGATCTAGCAGTGGGCCATATTAAAATGAGTTGCAATTATAACTCTTATCCTTATGATCTACATAAAATTACTCGCTTCCTAAGAAATTTTCTTTATAGCCTGGAACATATCAAGCAAAGTTTCAAATTCAGTGACACCTTGGTACCAATAATTAAATTACAAATAATCTTATGTTGAGATGAACGAGTTAAATGTATTATATATGCTTTCCATATATTCGTGAAATTGTATGTCGTGTGATATCACCCTGAGCTCTCTTATTAATAAAGTCACATATATTGAAGTTCGTGTTGAGTGAGTTGAGTAAAATAAATAATTAATAAATAAATGTATTTTTTAATTAAAAATCATATCATTTTATAATATATTATTATAAATTATGGTATCTGCGACCAAAATCCTCATGGTAAAAGAAATGGATAAAAATTGAAGAAAATTAAGACAGCTCTTGGGCTTTATATCCAAAAGCGTCATGGTGTCTTCTAGTGTAGAAAATAGCCAACAAATTTAGAGCACGATGCTTGGGTGCTGATTAACAAGCATTGTGATGCTACAGATGGTGCCTCTGCTCTATTTGATCGATGCTACGATGTTAGAGATGTAAAAAATTGTTCTAATACTTTAGGGCCTAATGTCATGACACCGGTTCATAGTGTTGCAATGTCAAATAAAGGGAGAAAATAGATGTTAGGATAGAGAGAGTGACACTATGGAGTCAAATTTTGTATTGCCTCGACGTCGGAAGGAGTTAAAATTAGCCTAAAATGCAAAGAGTTCAGGTTCTTTAGCGCCTCGGAGCTAGATGTTAACATTGCATTTTACAAACAGCTTTTTGGCACCATAAGAGATAGCTCCGCACCCCGACGATCCAACAATTTCAGTTTTAATGTGGTTTCCCAGCCAATTTGGTAAGTTACTCATGGAGTTGTAGGAATTACTTGAGTGAGATTCGTGCTGATTGTAATAGGGACTTTAGAGATTGTATTGGGCACTTAGTTATTTTGGTGAATGTAGAGAGTGAGTGTAAGGGTGTAAGAGTGTAAGTGTGTGAGAGCTCCCGAAAGAACTAAGGAGGAGAAAAGAAGGAAGGAGAAGAGAGTTCAAGGAAAAGATGTGCAATTAAACCTGATTTTTTCATCTTATTCTCATTTTTTTTAGAGATTTCGGAACATTTGTTTGATACTATTTGTATTTTTCCTGTACAAGTGTTAAAACCATATGTATTATTCCATTTAAAATCTTAATTTTTGTGTTGTATGTTAGTAATTGTTCAATTCATTTCAAACTCATTGAATTTACGTATTGCCATATGCTTACTTCAAACAGTGTGATTTATGGATGTCATGGAGGAACAACTAAATTATATTGACAAATCCTTGAGTAGGATGGATATATTTTTACTTGGAATTTGTAATCCTAAAAAACAATAAATTTTTTTATTCATATTTACGTAATCCTAAAAAACAATAAATTTTTTTATTCATATGTACTTATTAAATTTAGAAGGTTACTTAGATTTCCTAATTATTGTTGAAGATTAATGAATAATTTATTTTAGATTGACCACTTAAAGTCGATTTATAGAATAACAAGAAATAGGTGTCATTAATTTAGGTTGTTATCTTAATTTGCCATCACACATCAAGTTCTAGATTTATGCTTATTTACTCAAAGCTTTACTTAGTATCTTAATAATTTTATAAAAATAAGTTCAATAAAAATTAAGATAATATAAAACTAATATTTAATGTATTAAAATTTTTAATTATGAACTTTTGGAAAGCAATACTGTACTCACTTTATATTAGTTGCACGACATAGGCATTTGCATACATCTTTTTAGCTAGTCATTTTAATTTTGCGCCATTGTCAGAAATCTAAGCATAATTTTGTATTATTAATATTAATTGTAGGGGAAATTATATACATGTTACTCGAAACACTAGTATTTACAATTCTAGCACTTAACACTCTT